TTTTTTTTTTTTTTTTACTTTTCTGTATAAAACTTTTACCAGAAGTTATTGTTTGTCATACTTAATACAAATGCTTTTCCTAATTTGTATTCTCTTGTGACATTTTCTGGCATGGCTTGAGGTGGGTCCAGAGTTGTCTGGGTTCAAATTTAAGTAGCCTTGGACCAACTAGATTAAATGTAAATACTTCTTAAATTTTTTGCTCAGCAGTCAAGTTGCTGCTAAAAACTATGCACGTGGTGCTCTGTTTGGGGTAGCTTTTACGAGAGAACAGAAATTAAGATGAAAACTAATTACCTTTTTTTAATGTGCTCAGAACATTAACCAGGTGGTATTTGTTGGAAATTTCTTGAGAATTAATACGATCGCCATGCGACTTTTGGCATATGCTTTGGATTATTGGTCCAAGGGGCAGTTGAAAGCACTTTTTTCGGAACACGAGGTAAGCGGACTTATTTCTCGCGATGTGTTACGAGTGTAAAGGGCATGCAGTTCCCACCGCTTGGAACTCGAAGTAGATGTGAAATGGACTGCACTGCAGTTCTTACTTAATTTTTTGTAGACGTATGATATAGGGTTTAACTTTGTAATGTTCAAAAGCAATTTCTTACCTGATTTAATGCAAGGGAAATTTTTGGTTAACTGAATGTCAGCAATTTTTTTTAAGATTAAAAAAAATTTATTTCTTTATTTTGAGAGAGAGAGCACAAGCACACACAAGTCGGGGAGGGACAGAGACGGAGATGGGGAGAGGGAATCCCAAACCGGCTCTGTGCTGATAGCACAGAGGGGCTCAGTCTCATGAACTGTGGGATCATGACCTGAGCTGAAATCAAGAGTAGGACACTTAACCAACTGAGCTACCCAGGCACCCCTGAACGTTAGCAATTCTAAAGAAAAAAAACCTTGATAAACATTCACCTATACTTCTAGCGTTACTTTTTTCCAAACCATCCATTATGTTTTTCCCATTACATTTTGTAAATGCACTTACTCGGGGTTCTGCTTTTTTCATTTTGATGTTGGCTTTTGTGTTATTGATACAGTTCATGTGCCACTCATATAAGATGTGTGTTCTGAAAACAGACAGAGAAATACGTTCCAAGATTAGAACCACGTAAGAACTTCATACCTAGACAGGCTAGAAATGACAGAATGGAAGAAAATCATTGAATTGCTCCACCTGAAATTCTGTATGGGAAAGTGCCTTTCTATTTTTCCAGTTTGGGGAAAAAAATAGGACCATAGCTATGGAGGGGAGCCTCTCTTCTGTCCCCTTGCTTGTGGGACATTTGAACTATTTATTTCCAGTGTTGCTGGATCTTAGTGCTATCACATTTTTCAGAATTGTTTGTGTATATTTACTTAACAGTATTTATAGGAATCGGCAGAATAAGATTTGAAGTGCTACAGGGATTGCCTTTTCCTTTAAAGTTGCTCTGAGTTTTTCCTGTTCAAGGGCCCTTATTAAGTTCATTGTTAAAATTCAAGGTGTACAGATTCCCCTTATCAAAGCTTAAAGGTTAGTCATCTAATTGTTTAACTTTATTTTATTAAAAAAAATTTAATTGAATAAATTTGACGTGTAACATTGTGTAAGGTTTACAGCTGGTCACTTTGATACATTTATGTGCTGGGAGGTGGTCGCTGGTGCGGCCACCTGGCCTGATGTGATGGTGCTGCTTTACTGGCTTTGCTTGTCCTGCTGTGCATGAGATCTGTCTGGCTTATTTACTGCCCGTCAATTTGTACGCTTAAACATTGTTTGCTTTTAATGTTATTAATAAATCGGTACCAAATTATCTTTCAGTTTCTTACATCTTTTATATACATCTTGCTTTTTGTGATTTTTGACCTGTTCTATTTTGCTTTATGTTAGAATAAAAAGAAACTCTCTTTAATGTTACATTGCAGTAGAACTTTGCTCCTGCTCCATTTCTACCTCTTGAAACTTTCCTAGGCGGAAGGTGGAGATTCATTTCTTAGGTTAACTTTTCTTTTTTTTAGTCTTCACACCGTAACAGTTATAATTTGAACACTTTGTGGAGTCTTGGTTTTACGTTTTGTCATTCTTACTGCCTGCTGACTTCATGTTCCTCTCTGGTTATGCTTGCTGGCCCCGCTGTCTCTTTTCCAGTTGCATCTAGGCTTCTGACTCCAGTGTTGATCGCCGCACTTGTGGAAATTTGATATGTTAGGCTCTGACATATGAAGGCTCTTCCCGTGTGAAGTCGGGAAGTGAAAGTTTTGTATAGATTCCTCTCTGCCCTCTGTCTGCCTTTGCTGTTCTCGTCTTAGCATTTTGTAGCTTGTAACGACTTACACCTTCTGCTCGGTGGGGGGTCTTGGGTCTTCAGTGGAGCGCATTACATTGGTTAACTTCATCTCTTCTTTTGTTGCAAAATAAAAGATCCAGAAGGCCACGGGAAACACAGTGCGTAGCCAGCTACTAAAACGAGTGCCCGCCGGTGAGCCCACCTGAGCCCACCCTCCGCCAGCGGGTGCACTTGTGGGCGTCCTCTCAGGATGCTCATCGTGTGGCTGGCTGTTTTTAAAACCAAGAAACAGAGTGAGAGGAGAGGCTTCAGCTTCTCTCTTGTGTGGCCACGTTTCTTGGAGAAGCTTTCCTTGGAAAACGGAGTGGACTTCAGTTATTTATGATATTTAGAGACCGTTAGCACGTTCTTTGCAATCCGTCAGCATGTCTTTCAGGATCTTCCCGCTTTCCTTTTTCAGTCGTTTTTGTCTTTCTTAAAGGACTTTGCTAACTGCCCGGCTAGCTCAGTCAGTAGAGCATGAGACTCTTAAAGGACTTTGCTGTGGCATCTTATCCCTTGGAGACCTTGACGGATCCTGTATCCTGGTAGGACTGTTCTCTGAGGCCCGCAAGCACTGTCTTTTTACCAGTGTGGATTTTGTCTCATTTTTCTGTTACAGTCCTTTTCTTTTTCTTGTCTGTTTTTGGGTTTTCATGTCTTGGTTCTTGGTTGTATTTGACCTTGGCTACTTACTTCTGGAGATGGGCTTGCATTGTCCTCCTTCAGCTGCTGCTTCTCGCTCTCATGCCTCTGCTCTCTCTCCAGGCTCTTCTGTTGCTCTTTCACATGGTGCTTTTCTGTCTGTGTCCCCCCCCCTCTTCATGTCCCATTAGGGCACGGTTGTCCACTCCTCTGCTGCCCGCCTCTGCCAGTGCTGCCCCGACCACTGCCTTGCTCCAAGTGCAGACATCCAGTTACTTGCTGGGTGCGGCTGCTTGGCTGCCTGGGGCACTCCGGCCTTGCACGTGCTGTATGGAAGCCGTTCTTGCTCGCCACATCTCTTGCTCCTGTACCCTCGTGGCTGTCACCAGATGTATGGGGGACACCTAAGCCTCCCTGCTGCCCTCTTCCCTTTTTTCAGGCAGGTCTTGAGTCCGTCCCAATCTCTTCTTGCTGTCCTTCCCATCCCTAGCCCAGTCAGGCCCTCCCCCTCCGTGACC